TTCTGGAGAACTTCGGCCGATCCCGATGAACTGAAAGATAAAAGACTGCCAGCATACGAAAAAGAAAAAAGAAGCAAAATAAGGTAAAAGAAAGTCAAAATCTCACCCATGTTCCCGAACGCTGCCTGCACCTTCCTTCGACGGGGCAAGCGGTCGTTGGGATGAAAATTGAAAGGCCCGCGTATAATAAAAAACATGGGCTTCCACCCGTGTGACGACGAAAGGATACCCAGTATCAACTTATCAACTTTCTAAATCTGGGCTGAGACCTCCCATGACCACTCAAAAAATACCACCCCTCACACTTGGCGACGTGACATAGTCTGTACATAAATCTAAACTCATCTAGAGGGAGTTCCATGTCAAACCGCTGGTGTCACAAAATCCAGGCGGCAGCAAAGCAGTACCAAAAGTTTGGCGCCAGCTGAGCAGGGAAAATGCCGTAGAAGTGGCAGTAATCCTTTATAAAAGGATGAACCGGAAGGGTCATCCCCGCCATAACGGCTCTGGTATAGACCGGGAGGTACCCGGTCGGCAGCATACTAGTCCTAAAATGCATGTCTGGGAAGAGGTATTCGAACCACCTCCCGTCGATGCATCCTTCCTTTACAGCCCGGATAATATCCTTATTCCGGACCCTCACGCCACAACGTCGGTTGTAAAGAAAGGCCTGTCCGGGTCACCACTTGTGGCAGCCAGGGGGGCGTCTACCGTTGAAGCAGCCACCCCGCCTACGCTGCCCCCCGTGAAGGGGATCCGTTCGACCACCTTGTCCAACATTTGTTCTACACTACCAAATTCACTACCAAAGTCGTCGCCTGGTTCATACGTGGCCTCAACGTCTTCTATTTCCCTCAGCAAGGAGTCGACGCCTGAGGAAGAAGAAGACCATGAAATCTCCGCCATAGAAGGGGAGTCTGGACGGACGACGGAGGGATCCTCTCGACTGGGGGAGTTTTTGGCCATTATTCTGGTGATTAAAAAGACAAGGAGCTGAGTTAAAACCCTAACGTCGAGAGGAAGAAAAGGGTGACTACTCAAACGCCTCGACTTGACGTCGACCATTCATGTAAGAATGATAACGGCGAGTGTTCATGGTACCCCAAGTTCCCCAGACCCCAGGAACCAGAAGTGCACAGACAACCAAAAGACAGAAAAAGAACTATCCTCTGCGGAAAAATAAATTGGAGTAAGTCTCCCTAACCTCTACATTCCGCGTATTTTCATACATACATGATTCAACAGGAAAAAACCCGTGAGAAACAGAACAAGCAGAGGATGATGGGGCTTACCGGTATGAAGAGTTCCAGGTAGAATCTGTGATTAAATACGGCTTCACAACAAGCCTGGGAAAGCGAGGAGTACGAGTCGGTGTTTTGCAGAGAAGCATTCCGGCGGAGCAAGCGGCAGTTCAGCGAATGCGGGGAGTGTTTGTGTTTTGAAAAAAAAAATGGTTTCGGGTTCAAAGAAGGTATTTAAGGAGATGAAAGTCCTCGACCCCTGACCGTTGGATGAAGTTCTTAAAATCCAACGGCAAGGGAATCCCGCCCAGATCTGACGATGACAAACAAGGGCGGGAAAAGGAAGAGTCACGATCTGAAGGCTCACATTCATCCTTTCGAAATAGAGCCTCACGTCAGCACAAGAAATCGACCGACGCGACGGTTGCTCCCTCAAGGAAATCCGAAGCATCCAGGCCATCATTGCGGACGAAGGCTCGGGACCGGTTTCCCACACCCGAAGCACGGAAGTACGACCGAACCTAAGCTCGAGGCCGCCTAAAAGGAACCCTCGACCTGAGGGGTAGCTGTTGTGTGGGAAAATGTGAAGGACACGTGGAAGAACGATAATATGACACGTACCCTTAACTACTCCCCGCAAAGCAACAACCCTCGACGTTTGGGGCTCCTTCCCATTCCGTTATAAAGAACCCAAGTGAAAAGTCTAACTTAGGGCGTCGATTCCTTCTGGCGTCGACAGATCGTACCGTCGACCTTAGGGCATAGAAATCCCTCGACTATGGAACCAATTGCCAAGAAGGATAATTGGGTTAAGCAACACTAGCGACGAGGGGAATGCTCTTTGGAGAAAAATCTGACGTGACAAATTGCGTACAAAAGTGGGGGATGACTGCAAGGCAGGCATTTATTGTGAACTCTTAAACCGCCCCACAGGGGACAGAAAAGGGTTATAGGAACACACAAAGCCGTAATAGAAGACTAATTGGCTGAGTGAACAGTACTCCAAGTAATTAGTGGGCTACGTCTGGGCCTAAAAAGGGAGAGCACTTGAGTGCTTCTGCTTACAAAGGAAATCAACCCAACGAAGGAAGCCACCAATATAAAAAGGGCGAGACCCCAACAGGAAAGGGGTTGAAATCCGAGAGAAAAAAGAATGAGAAAGAACAATTGATGTAAATTGTAATCCCCTCAAAAGAAATATACAACCACAGTGGATGTAACTCTGATTTTATAGAGTGAACCACTATAAAATCTCTTGTGTACCTTATTTGTGCACATCTTTCATTAACGCACAATACACCCCTCCAACAAATTCTTACACACATTCAACACTAAGGCCGGTAATCCAACGGGAAATCCAAAGGTAACCCAGCCTGTTTTTGTTGACGAGAATTCACCGTCAACACCTAGTTTAATGGTTGTAAGAGATAATGTTCACGTGTTATGTTATATGGATATCAGTTGACAACCTAACTTAATGCGTTCACCAACTCCCTTTTAAAAGTGTTTTTTTCCCCCTGTTTTCCACTTTTTATTTCTTCACTTTTTCCACCTGATTTACACAGCCTGGATCTCTAATAGGTGGCATCGTATCTGTTGACGGTAAAAACTCGTTAACAGAAATAGGCCGGGTCACCACTAGGTATCCCGTTGGATTACCGACTTAATAATGACTGTATACTCAATATATGCAGTGGAGTGTTTGTGGTATTTTTTGTGTAGTGCGCAATATGAGAAAAAATACTTGAAGTAGAAAAAACACACAAGATTTATAGTGGTTCACTCTTATAAAATGAAGAGCTACATCCACTGTAGTTTTCTATTCATTTTGAGATTGTTGCAATTTACACCATAAATCGCTCTCTCATTCTTTTCTCTCAGGAAAGATCAACCTCTTTTCTATACGAGGCTTCTCTCCTTTTATAGCCGAGCTTCCTTCGTCGGGTGAGTTTTCTTTGTAGACTGAAAAGCACTCAAGTGGTCTGTCCCCACTAATCACTTTTGTGTACTGTTCACTTAGCCAATTAGTCTCCCATTACGGCTCTGTGCGTAGCTGTAACCCTTTTCTGTTCCCCGTAGGGCTATTTAAGGGTTTGCATTTAATGTCTGTATTGCAGACATCTCATATTTCCGCACGCAACTTGCGATGTCAGGCTTTCCCCTCTTCGGGCATTCCTCTCGCCGTCTCTTATTTGCTCAGCCTAGTTGTCTTTCCTGGCAATTAATTTCTTCCTAAAGGATTCCTGCCGTAAGGTCGACGGTACGACCTGTCGTCGTCAAGAGGAGTCGACGTCGAAGGCTGTGCTTCCTTTGCAGCAGAAAGAAAGGGAACCCCCACCGTCGAGGGTTGTTGCCTTTTGAGAAAAAGGAAGGCTACATGTCACACTGTTGTTTTTCTACGCGTCATTTACTTTTTTCCACACAACAGTATCCTTGCGCATGCTTCGACAACTTTGAATAATGGCCTGAATTGAAGCCCCATTTCGTGCATTTACGCTTTACTAAATTAAAACCCGAGTGCTGACAAATATTAATAGCTTTTGGAAAGCGTTATTTCTATATTAAAAGACCCTTCTTTCCTAGCTCTGTGCTGATAGAGAAACGCTTTTATATTGTATGAATTTTTTTTTTTTTTTTTTTTTTATTTATTTATACAAGGGAATGGGAGAATGCCACCATTATTAAATGGAGGTTTGGATTGATTCAATCCCAATCATAGGATTGGGGTGGAAGGGCTTACTACGCTTTTATATTGTATGAATTTTGTTGTCGTCTATCATAGTATTTAGAGAAGAAACTTGTTATTTGTTTTCTTTCCCCTAACAAGGCATTGAATTGTATGAATTTTGTTGATGCCTGTCATGTCATAAATCAAAATGCCCTTTTTTAGATGGGATGTTAGATACGTGGTGGGTTGGGCCCCACCAGGTAAGGCTCATTAGTTTCTTAACCCAGTCCAACTCAACTCTGATTGAGATGAATAAGATTTCGTTCATTTTACTGATTTAAATTTTTAATTTTAAGTTCTACAGTTAAAAGTTCTAAAAAAATAACACATTTAACTTTTTCTGTTACAGTTAAAAACTCTCAAAAAATGTCACATCTCAACTCGAATCTGCGAAGTAAATTAGGCCTAAAACTACTCTTTTAATAAGTCTATTCATTTCACTAATTCAAATTACCACAAGTTTTTGCTATAGCATTTTGTACACTTTATAGGAAAACCACAAGTTTTAGACTTGAATTGACATATGCGAACAAATATAAATTATTGTAGAGAATGTTAGCAAAAAATACTTAAAAATCGTAAAATCTATAAAAATTACAAATATATACATAAAAAATCATAAAACTCTCACAAAATCTAAAGATACTAAATGAGATATACAAAAATACAAGTATTATTTTCTCTTATAAAAATTCAAATTCAACTTTTTCTACTACAAGTGTTTTCTTTCACTTTTTAACTCAAAGTGAGGCCTTAAAGACGAACTTAAAGAGAGAAGTTCCATCAAACAAGAACAATTGGTTTCTAGCATTGACATTACTATTTAAGAACATTTAGGATATGATTGACATTATGCCATTTTTTAACTCATCTCTCATACCTCTTTTAGTTAAGTTTGCGTCTAGAGTTTATGTTTGTTAGTCGAGGAAATTAGGAAGCGGGAGGTTGATTTGTACACACTTTAGAGAGCAAAATTACCTCTTTGCTCAGTGAATAGTACAGAAATTGTATACTGTTGGAAATGTATTGAGAAGAGAATAATCATCGAGTAAATTTAATTCTCAGAAGGAGCCAGTGAATTCATGAAAAATGAATGCTTTGAACTGTACATTGACTTTTACTTGCTCTATGAATAAGCAAAAGGGAATAAATAATTTTGGAAAGAGATCAAAACTAATTACCCCTGTAAGCTATGAAAGAGAGAATTTCGTTAACGTTGATCTAATGAAAATATACAAGACCTTATCATTTTCCTATAGCGAATAACACAAGGAAATAAAAAAAATAATAATAATAATCTGAGTTTATAAAACTTCGGGAAAAAAATCGCATACTTTCACCGGATGTCGTCTTTCAGGGGAAGATCCTCAGTTGGAGACGAAATAAATTGCTCGTTGGACTCGATAAGCATCAAGACGACTTCTCGCATTGATGGTCGATCAAAAGGGGACACACTTGTGCACATTAGAGCAATCTTCAAGACTGTAAGCATATGATCAACCATACTTTTGTCGTCCAGATTTAATCGATTATCAAGTATCCCAGATCTCAATGAATGATCTCTGATATAATGCCTTACCAAAGTGACAAGGTCACCTCCTTCCTCGAGCGGTTGTACAGGAGTCTTTCCAGTTAGCAACTCCAATAAAACTACCCCATAGCTATAGATGTCACATTTTTCTGTAACCTTCATGGTGTACGCATATTCTGCAATTAATAAAAAAAAAAAAAAAAAAAAAGGAAGCTAAGAAACGTGTTCAACAACATTCTTAAATAAAATGAAACCAAATGAGCTAGGCAATAGAGAAACTACAAAAATAGATGAATATTTTGCATTGACTACAATAAATGGTAGTTAAGAAATAACTGTATTGAATCTTGAAAAGCCATAAAGGGCATTACCAGGAGCAATATATCCATATGATCCAGCAACTGCTGACATTGATTTGGAATGAGGCATATCAATTACTTTTGCTAAACCAAAATCACCAACATGGGTTTCGAAGTTCCGATCAAGTAGAATATTGGTGGACTTTATATCGCGGTGAATAATCCTTGGTTTGCAGTCATGATGTAAATATGCAAGACCTTCAGCAGCTCCGAGAGCAATTGTAAAACGAGTCGGCCATTCCAACCTAGAAGAGGCGCCATGAAGCAATTCGCCCAAGCTACCATTTTCCATGTATTCGTAAAGAAGCAAATTAGAACCCTGGTGATAGCAAAATCCATATAACTTCACAATGTTGCGATGCCTGATTTTCCCGAGAGTGGAAATTTCAGCGCGGAAACTGTTTTCTATGTTATTCCCCTCACTATTAGATGCTAGCTTCTTAACAGCAATGGTCTTTCCAGAATGCATTACCGCCTTATAAACGGTTCCACAAGCTCCCCTTCCGACAGCAAAGCTTTCATGGAAGTTATTAGTCACCTCAACTAGATCTTGGAACGTGAACCCATCTTTTGGAGGAAAGTAGATATCTGAATCAGAAGATGGAATATCCTCTTGCAAGGATACGACCGTCTCGGAAGGACATCTCATGAAATATAAGATAATAACAATAAGAATGAGAGAAACACCACCAACAGCAGCTGCAACTGCAGTAATGATTTTTCCACGATGAGTTTCACTCCTTTTCGAATGGGGAACAAAATTAGAATACAAGTTTCCACCACATTCGTCAAGAGGCCTACCACAAAGCCCTTTGTTCCCAAAAAAGCTGCTAACAGCCATGTTCTGGAACAGAGGTATAGAAGGTAAAGGTCCAGTAAGATCATTGTACGAGAAGTTGCACCCCAATAAGCTTGACAAGTTCTCCAACGAGCTCGGGATTTCACCGGTCAAATGGTTGTTGTTGAGCAGGAGAAATTCAAGCATATTAAGATTGCCAAGCTGGGACGGTATATTCCCGGTCAGGTTATTGAAACTAAGATTCATTGCAATCTGCAAACCTGAAAGGGAACCCAACTCCGGAGGTATCTCACCAGAAAACATGTTGCCACCCATTTGTAACTCTGTCAAACGGGAGAGGTTTCCTAATGCAGATGGGATTTTTCCAGAGAATTTATTCTCCGAAAGCCGGAGAAGCTCCAACTGCAGAAGGGTTCCTAGCTCATTGGGCAACGGACCTTTAAACCTATTCCGACTGAGATCAAGACGTTGTAGCATCTGGCAGTTAACTATTTCAGGTGGAATTTTCCCAGTGAGAAGATTGTATGATATGTTGAAAGTCACCAACATAGAAAGACTTCCTATTTCCTTAGGCAACTCAGAGTTGAAGTAATTGTCTGAAATGTGAAGCCTCTGCAGCTTCTTGCAGTTTCCTATCTCTGGAGGAATCGGACCGCTGAACCTATTCAGGTCCAATCCGATGGCAGAAATGTTCACCAAATTGCACAGCTCAGAAGGAAAACTCCCGGTAAGACTGTTTCCAGCAAGTCGAAGTTGCACCAATGATTTGCAGTTCAATATTCCGGTTGGGATATTTCCATACAGCCTATTAGTCTCCAGATTTAACAAAATCAGGTTAGAATTTCGACAGAGATAAGGAGGTATTCTTCCTGTCAGGTAGTTATGTGAAAAATCAACTACCCAAAGTTGGCTGTAGAGTCCAAGCCCCTGAGGAATGCTACCATTGAGAGAGTTGTCAAACAGCTGGAACTGTATCATTTTATTCAGATACTGAAATCCATATGGAATGGGACCCTCAAGAAAATTTATTGAAAGATCAAGCTTTGTCAAGTTCTTCAAGCTACTAAGCTCACTTGGTATTACACCTGTAAGCTGGTTCTGAAAGAGATAGAGTAACCGTAGACCGTTTATCTTACTGACTTCGGTGGGGATCTCGCCAGTCAAATAGTTCTCCGAGAAATCAATTTCTGTTGCAAGAGAAAGATTTCCAATTTCCCTTGGGATAGTTCCATTTAACTCGTTTCTGTAAATATACAGCCTTCTCAAGGACTTGAGGTTCCCAATCTCACTGGGAATTGGTCCACTGAGAGAATTCTCATATAAAGCAATAGTCTCCAGGCTTGAACAATTCCCAAGTTCCTTGGGAACAAGCCCAGATAGCTGGTTTTCCCACAGAATCAGATCCGTCAAGCACCCAAGCATCCCGAGCTCCTTTGGCAATTCCCCTCCTATATGGTTTTGAGCAAGACCAAGAAGCTCCAAGCTCTGGCATCCACTTATTTCAGCCGGTAGGCTACCAGAAATAGCGTTCTGACCAGATCTAAACGTTTTCAGATTCTTGAGATTCCCAATAGAACGAGGCAAAGGACCGGTAATATTGTTGGTGTATGCCACGAACTCGACCAGAGAAGTCAAATTCCCAAGCTCCTCTGGCATGGAACCAGAGAGCTTGTTGTTGCACAGGTTCAAACTTCTCAAGTTAGACAAATCACCCAATTGGGCAGGAATTTGCCCCATAAATTGATTGTTGTTCAGATAGAGTTCTTCCAACCTCGAACAATTCCCAATCTCCTCAGGTATGTTTCCAGTGAGTGCATTGTAAGCGAGATTAAGACGAATCAGGTGGACTAAACCACCAATGCTGGGGCTCAATGTTCCTGAGAGATTCATGGAATTCAACTCAAGAGACCAAACAACTCGATCATAACCAGCAGTGCAATTTACACCGGACCATCCGCACGGTGTTTTGTCATTGGGATTCCAATTCCCCAACAAATTAAATCTATCGTCAAGACTGTTCTTCAGCTCCAGGAGGCAAAGCCCCTCAGAATTCAGTCCCTCTGAAGTGAAAGCCAGCAGAGTTAAGACAAGTGAAAATCCAACAAATCCCACCTCCAAAACATTCCGCAGTTCGAAATTTCCGAACATTTTAGCAACTCCCGCAAAATTGCAACCAGCATATGATCAGATAATGAACACCTGCATAAGCATAAGTCTTCAGATTGCAATGCTTTAGAACAAAAACCTATTTCCTTAACATCAAGTAAACTAACGAAAACATTCAATAATATCAAGCTAATACCAACATAAAAAAGAATTCACAATTTCTTACAAGCAATCTCTTATTACAAAACCAAACTACAAACATATAAAAACGACCCCATGACGCATAATCGATGGTAATTCAAGCTACATGCATACTAATTATAGGAATCAATCATTAATTCAAAAAAAAAAAAAAAAAAAACAGAGAGAGAGAGAGAACTTAAATTAATCACAGGCAATCCAAGAAACCAAATGGGTTCATCAGAAACCTTTAAAGAAATCTACATTAGTCACCTAAAAAAAAAACCAAACATACCCCATAAGATAAAAAATCAAACACAACTTATCCCTATAGTCAAATTCAGAAACTTTATAACATGTCAAAAAAATAAATAAATAAAACAGAGCATTAAAACGTACCTCTATAAGCTTCACCTTTTTGTCACTCATCGTAGAAGAGATAATAGAAACAGCAAGTCCACCACTTGACATTATTGACCTTCTGAAATGACAAACTAAAAACCATGGAATTCATGAATCAGAATCCCACCTTGCCAAATCAAAATTCGTCCTTTTCCTTTTTCTTCTTTTTTTCTTTTCTCCCCCACAAATGGTGGGCGATCTCCGATCTACAAAAGACCCAAGATTTGTTGCTTAAATATCTGCCAAGCCCAATGTTTTCCCACCTTTTCTCGCGGCTTTTTCCCCACCCAAAAAGAATTACAGAAAAATCTCCCACTTTTCTCACCCAAAAAGAAAGAAAGAAAGATAAAAATAATAAGAAATGAAAGAGAACGCGTCGAACAGTGAAATCTGAGCTCTTGGGGATGAAGCTCTAATGGCCGACAAGCATGCTTTCATGTCATCGCTCTCTGCGTATTGTTTTGTAGTGAGAGAAAGCTGTCTCTCTCTCTAGATTGAAAGAGAAGTGTGGTGGTGAGTGCTCGGAGAAAGGAGAACGAGAGAACTGTGAGAACTTTTTAGGCCTATTCCTGTAATGTAATAAAGTCTCTGAAATTATTTTCTTGGGAAAATTTCCGAGAAAAAGGAAAAGAAAATTGCCTTTTTAAAATAAATAAATAAATAAACATTTGCTTTGCTTGGTAGGTTCTGAATTCTATGACTGATGATAAACACCATTTGGTAAGTTTTGGATTTAGTACCTTTTATCTTTAATCATTTTAATGCAATGGAAGTAAATCTGTTTTGTAGTATATTGCCACGTCACTTATAACTTCATAATCAATTTTTTTCCACAAATTATATTATAAATTCATTGTGAAAAAATCCATTGTTTTAGTTTCGTATATTTTGAAATACATTTATGAAGGAAGGATTAATTTTCTTTGATTCTAGGTTGAATTAGCAAATTCATAATTCTTTGCAAGCGCATACTAAAACTTTGATTTACATTCTACTAAAAAATTTATAAAAATGTTGTTGCGTTTAATATTTTCTTACTCAAATGAATCCAAGGTTTGCACATTCCCAGTCAACATACTATCTCACATATTAAATCTAAGTTTTTTTTGTTTTTTATTTATTTAGAAAAACAGATTTGTGTTTGATATTCATAAGTTTATGGTACAACTGTCTCCGTGCTCTTATATACAATATATTTTTCTAGAGGAATTTATTAATCATAGAAACAAATTTTAACAGGTTCATAAATAATAAGAACATATTTTCAAAAAAAAAAAAAAACATATCAACTTCATCTTAATTGTTTAATTTTAACTTGTGCGATAAGTAAATTGTCATATTTATATTGATGGATATAAATTTTTTTTTTATTTTAACTCATGTGATAAGTAAATTGTCATATTTTTATCGATGAATATAATTTTTCAGTACTAATAAATTAATAATTTTCAATATTTATCAATAAAAGATAATAGCTTAGAGTAAAACAAAACTTTAATGAAATTAACGGTGTTTTTTTTTTCCTAACATTATTCATAGAAACAACAAAATTTGAACGGTTTTTTTTTTTTTTCCTTCCTCTTTTTTCTTATGTCTTTAATGAAATTATTAAAAGAACTCTATAAATTTGTGGGGCTTTTGAGGGCGCACGGATCATCCAGATGATCCACCAATCTTTTTCCCTCTGGATCATGAATTGGGTGAGATAGCTCCCTAAGCTGTCTGCTCACTAACTTTGTCTTTATCAGACGGTCCACATTTGTGGATTATGAGCATGACAATATTAACAAAAAATATTGTTGAAGCCTATGGACTAAATTGGTGGGACCCCTAAAAGTACGCGTAAAAAATTTATAAAAAAAAAAAAAGAAAAAAAACCTAATAAAATACAAAGAGATATAGAGGAAGAAAGTCTGAAAGAGATGGGAAATTGATAACTGTTGGAGCACTGAGCACATGGAAGGCCAAATAGGCCATATCTCTTGACTCGGAAAGCATAAAGAGTTGGTTCGCTTCCACTAAAAAGTAATATCATCACTAGTTAAATCATTTGCCGACCAATTTCTTGTTAACATTATCATGCAAATATCCAATTAAGTTACATTTGTTGCTTGTTATATTGGGTCTCAATTTTGATTCAGTTTTCTCACGCTCTTTCTCTTTAGTTTTTATGCCATGTTCACATTTGCAAGTAATAATTTGCTTTAGTGTGTTTTTACAATAATCAATACTCAATAGTTCATTTCTTTGGACAAAAGTTGAGCGGATTTACTATCAAATATAGAAAATATCAAATGCATATGTGTATATATAAGGTTTCCATATATATTTACTTATCAAATATATAAAAAAAATATATTTAGTTACCGTGCAATTTTATTAATTATCATAAATTTTTTTTATTAATTATCTAATTTTTTATAACTGTATGATTAACATTTTAGAGTTAAAACAACAATTCTAAGTACACATTAATAGATAAATATTGAAGTAATTATTTAAGTAACATCTATAGCTAATTGCTTCTTCTTATTATTCAAAATAATAATTATAATAGGGGTGGTAGCTAGTAATAGTAGTAATAATAATAACAATAATAATAAATAACAACTTATTACTATTAATTATTATTACTATTATTGTTATTGTTATAATTATTATTTGTGTTTTTTATTGTGAGCACATGACTAAGTGTAATATATTAAGGGAAATGACGGACCAAATCATTGTTCAGCAACGATACCTTCCTTTAGTGACTTTCAACCTATATATATGTAGGCCTTTTATGTGGTCCCCACCTCTTTTATAGGCGAAATTTTATCTATTGTAATCGGTTGAATAATTGACGTAATTCTTTGTATTGAGTCGTAATAATTACTATTTTAGAAATTAAAAGTTGTTTTTAAACATATGACAATAAACGACTATCATATACTGCTCCAAATAAAAGTTCATGCATAATTGAATGTGTCTATAAAAAAAAAAAACATGATAGATATAATCATTCACGATAATATTATTCAGGTTTAAAAAACATAGTCAGTTATGATAGAACGACTGATATTAACTGTAAAAATGACAGATGTGCATATTATTATTCATGTTGAAAGTGACATTTATTTATTGATGTGCCTCTCAATATTATTCATATACTTATTCATGATAGGTATGCAAGACAATCGTTTATTATATGCTTAAAAATAACTTTTCTTTTTTTAAAAATAATAACGTTATGACTCAATATAAGAAAATTATACTAATTTTTCAGTTGGTTACATGACACATGGTCAGTTTTGTATGTGTATTTATATTTTATAGCAAGTATTTTTGTAGACTTTAAATGGGAAAAATTCATCCTTGAGATTAACACAAGTACCTTTCAAGAAAAGAGGGGGCAAAAGGTAACAAATTGTTTGTTATGTAAGCATTTCTTCCATGGGTTTCAGTGCAATGACTAATTTCTCTCTTAATTGTTTTATAGAAGTAAAATCTTAATTAAAGTGGTTCCTCAGTCTTCGTAATTTCTTTTAAAAATTTCTTCTTTTTCAGAAGGTGTGCCAGGATTGACTCCACCGTCAATGTCAAAAATAACATGATTTGTTTCTTTAATTTTTTGCAACTTTTTAAGGCACAATAGACGTATATATATGTTTGCTTTGGTCAACCGTGAAAATTACTCTTTTTTTTTAACTTTGTATTAGCTAAGTCAATTTCAAAATACATATATATTGTTATGCATAGTAGCTGTTAACTTCAATTAAAATTACTATACAAGTTAAGTTATGTTCTTATTATAATCTTATTGTGCAAATAGTAACTATAAATAGTAAGTACTGTGTAATAATAATTGTAAATAGTATCAAAAATTTTCCTACAAAAGGCACTAAATCTTTTCATTTTACATACATTCACAATATTAATAAAACTATCTCTCTCTAAAGTTTTTCTTCTTAGTTTTACATTTTTTTAGTTTTCATAACACGTTATCAGCACGAAAGTTCTATTTCTGCTGCAATTGTCTACATTCATTAATTCAAACAAAGGAGGCCCTGATCTAATTACAAGCATATACCTTAAAGTCAAAAGAAAATAAGTCTTAGCCCTAGTCCTACTACAAGTTTCAACCCTTATTAATTCAAGTGAAAGTAATCGCCATGTCGAATCTTGCCAAACTTGAGTTTGTTGCACTCGACATAACGGGAAAGAATTATATGTCTTGGATCATAGATATTGAAATGCATCTAGAGTCAATGGGTCTATTAAAAAAAATAATAACAAGTCACCATAAGAAAAGGCGAAAGCAATGATTTTTCCTCGTAAAAATCTTGATGAAGGCTTGAAATGCGAATATCTCACAGTTAAAGATCCATTTGTCTTTTGGAAAAGTCTGAAGGAGAGATACGACACCAAAAAGAAGTCATACTTCTTGCCACTCGCGATGAGTGGAACAATTTACCTTTCCAGGATTTTAAAAAAGTCAATGACTACAACTCTGTCATGTTTAGAATTGTTTCACAACTGAAATTTTGTGGAGTAAATATCACAGATGGTGAGATGCTAGAGAAAACCTACTCCACTTTTCCTGCATCTCACATTACCTTGCAACAACAAAACCGTTTGCTCGATTATAACAAATTTTCTGAGCAAATCTCATCTCTTCTTGTGGGAGAGAAAAACAATGAATTGTTGATTAAAAATCATCAGTCTCGTCCCACTGGTTCAACAACATTTCTAGAAGTAAATGTTGCATTCTCTAAAAATCTGGGACGGGGAAAAAATCGTTGTCATGGTCGAGGCTATGGTCGAGGACATGGATGAAGTGGTTATTACAACACTTCACAAAATGACGTAATCCAGAAGAAGCGTCATGACAAAAGAAAAGATGTTGATGCAAGTTGTTCCCAAAATCCTGAAAATTCATGTTATAGATGTGGTACTAAAGGACATTGGTCTAGAATTTTTCGAACACCGGAACATCTTTGTAAACTATACAAGGTATCCTTGAAGGAGAAAGAAAAGGAAGTAAATTTTAATGAACACCACGATCCTACAAATGACTCAATCAATCTTGATGTCTCATACTTCACAATGACTTTACAAATAAGACTATTGGTGATAACTAGATAGATAAAGTTTTTCATAAATGATGCTCTATTTCACCAAAGTTCAAAAGAAATTTGTTAAGTTTCAAAGACATATATCTTCACGGATATGATAAACTATCTAAAATTGAAATGAATGAAAAATATATGTATTTAACTACTAAGGTATCTGAAAATAAGTAAATATTTGAAAAACTTCAAAAACTCTATTTGGGATTACATTACACATATATAAATGTGATAGAGTCACACGTAGCAGTTAAAGAAGATCCTCATATATTAACCCTATGGAATTACAATTTGCGTCATCCTGGTTCAATAATGATGCGAAGAATCGTGAAAAGTTCACATGGACATTCATTAAAAGGCCAGCAGATCTTTCAAATGAATAAAGTTGTATGTGAAGCTTGTTCTCTTGGTAAACTAATTACAAGGCCTTCACAAGCCAAAATTAAAGCGTAATCACCTACATTTCTTAAATATATTCAAGGTGATGTATGTGGGCCTATACACCCACTGTGCAGACCATTCTGATACTTTATGGTATTAATAGATGTAACCATTAGATGGTCACATGTTTGTTTATTATCACCTAAGAATGTGGCATTTGCAAGATTTCTTGCTCAGATAATTAAATTACGAGCATAATTTTCTAACTATACAATCAAGAAAGTTAGACTTGATAATGCGAGTGAATTCACATCTCAAGCATTTAATGATTATTGTATTTTCATTGCAATTATTGTCGAACATCTTGATGCTCACGTGCATACACAAAATGGTTTGGCTGAATCATTGATTAAACGCCTCTAGCTTAATGATAGACCATTAATAATGAGAACAAAGCTACTTATTTTTGTATGGGGTCATGCAATTTTACATGATGCAGCATTAATTCGCATCAGACTAAGTCAATCGGAACCAAATGGCCTTTTTCCGAAAGGTAAATAAACTGAAATTCCATATTTCAGGCAACCAGCAAGTAATTTAAGTAATTAAATTACTCACGACCAAAGTGAGGCTAAATGCCACCGTAGTGGCCCGTACGGATTACGGGTTCTGCCCCCAAGGACACGATCTCCATATCCTATCTAGGCCATCATTGGGCTTAGCAGTTCACAAGATATCTTATATTACGAAAATGTTCATTAAAACTTGAAATCAATCCATTATGAGATCAATAGTGAAAATCAAGCTATTGTCTTGAAAATACTTTTCTTTATCAACATGTTCTTATCTTTTGAAAACATTATTTGACCAAAACACTTTAAAACTGGTTAACAAAAAAGATGGGTAAGAATATCCTACCTCTCGGATGAAACATGTGGCTCACTTCTTGTCACCCTAACCTCCGCTTTCCTTAAAGCTTTAATACTTGATCTTCTCCACTAGCTTTATCACAAAAGTAATGTCTTAGGATATATTTCTCATTTCTAAAACGAATTGAGCTCAATCATGTTTAATTGTTTCCTATTAGTATGCCTTGACTCAAATCCAAGTTTCACAAACGATTTTATAATTTAGTTTGGGGGTTCTTTAAAAATTTAAATCCAATTCATGGGTTTGGTTTCCTATTTAATTTCAGTTTAAAAATAAGTTTTTAAAGAAATTTCGGCAGCATGCCGGCATAAATAGGAAAAATGCCAATCCTGCAATTCAAGTTCAATTTCAAAATAAATTCTCCAGAATCCATCAAAATCAGTTTCCAATCAATTTAAAAAATCCAATAACTGAAAACCCCCAAATTTAATTCAATTCTAACAACAATTGTTCAAATCCAAACCCTAACTCAAAATTATTCAAATCTAACAAAAATTAAACTTTCTCATGTCTAAAATTCAAATCAAAGAGTGGGTTTCAAGGGGTTTTACCTCAAATTAGTTGAAGGAGCTTTGTTTCCCTCTGTTTCTCCCGTTTTCTCATGTCAAATCAAAGAGTGGGTGTCTCGGCCAAACTACCGAGAGAGAGAGAGAGAGAGAGAAACCCAGAGAGAGGGCAAGGGAGAGAGAGAGAGCTCAGAGAACTGGCCGGCGGTGGAAGAAAAGAGAGAGAGAGATAGAGAGAGAGAGAGAGGCTGGGCGGCGGGCGTGGAACCAGAGAGGAGAGAGAGGAAAGAAAAAGAAAGAAAGAGAGAGAGAGAGAGAGAGAGAGAGAGAGAGAGAGAGGGGCTGGGCTGCACGGGAAGGAAAGAAGAAAAGGAAAAAGGAAAAGAAGAAAGAAAAAAAAAAGAAAAAGGAAAAAGAAAAGAAGGAAGAAAAAAAGGAAAATAGAAAAATGGAAAAAGGGGAAAATATATTAAAATTTAAGTGTATTTTTAAAAAACTTTTAGGGTGAAATCATAAATACTGAAAATAATTTAAAGTTCCTTGATTAATTGTGAAAATCAAATTAGGCACACTAATAACTCACAATTTAGCATAATTAAACATGTTTAATTCTGGAGGGCGTTACACTTTCATTTCAAATTCATCTTTTAAGTATATCAAGCTTGTTGAATTTCTTTATGAGTTCCAATGGTATTAAAATCATTGACATAGACAACGATTATAATGAAACTAAATGTTGTTCTCTTAATAAAAACACATGGGCATATGGGATCATTCACATATCCTTCTTTTGGTAAATACTCGCTTAAGCGATTATACCACATGCGTCTAGATTGTTTCAACTCATTTAATGATCTTTGTAACTTAATCGAACATTCCTTAGGTTTTAAATTTAGTGCTTCAGGAATCTTAAATCCATCATGAATTTCATATAAATATCACTATCAAGCGATCCGTACAAATAAGCTGTAACAATATCCATAAGACACATCTCTAAATTTTTAGAAACTGTTAGGTTAATTAAATATCTGAATGTTTGCATCCATTACAAGAGAATACGCATCCTCATAATCAATCTCGGGTTTTTGTGAAAATTCTTGTGCAACAAGTCGAGCTTTATAGCTTATAATTTCATTTTTCTTATTGTGTTTTCGCATAAAACCCCATTTGTATCCCACAGGTCCTACGGCTTCAGGCGTCAAGATAATAGGTCCAAAAAATTTACGCTTATTAAGTGAATTCAGCCTATATAGCATATTTTCATTGATCCCATTATGTCTATTTTGGCATTCAGAAACGGATCTTGATTCAGAATCCTCAGTTTCGTTAATAATTTCACTTGCCACAGAGTGAGAAAATATTTCATCAATATTTTTAATTTCATTTTGATTCCATAATCCTCTTATATTGATATAGTAAATAGAGGTCTCACTATTCTTAAAACTTTCAAAATTTTCTACGATATCAAGAATCTCTTTGTTTGTATTATTTTGTGTTTCTCCTGAAACACTTTCCTCCACATCAGGGTCATTATGCTCATTTGCTCCCTTTCTTTTTCAAGGCTTTTTATCTTTAGAACCGATAGGTCTAGCACGCATTTTAGACATATTAATGACTTCATTCTTAGATTGTCCTTTTGAGATTTCAATCCGAGCGGGAGAATTTGCAGCTGGTACACATGATTTAGTCACCTTTTTGTATAAGTGAACGCATCTTGTAATTGATTTGCTAAGTTTTGTAAGTGTATAATCTTTTGCACTTCTAGTTCACATTGCTTTGTGTGAGGATCATGATGCAACACTAATGGTTCATATCATGTAATTTCCTTTTCTAGATGTTTATTTTCTACTCCTAATGCTGGGAAGACTACCTCATTAAAAATCACAATCGGCAAAATGTGTCGTAAAAACATCACCAGTTTGAGGCTCAAGATATCTGATGATAGAAGGAGATTCACACCTAACGTATATTCCCAGTCTTCTTTGAGAACCCATCTTTGTGCATTGTGGTGGAGTAATTGGTACATAAACCGCACAACTGAAAATTCTTATGGGAGATATTTGGTTATTGACCAAATGCCAGTTGTAAAGGGGAGTACTTATTATAAACACTGGGCCTGACTATCTCATTTTATTTACTTACTTATTTATTTAGTTTTATAACTCTTATCGTACTGGGCCTTTTGCTCATTTTTCCTATGTTTCAAAATGTATTAACCCCACAAAGGTGGTGCTAGAGGTAGCGCAGAATGGGTGAGGAATTCAATTTTAGAAGAAAGGAAGCAGTGAAGCATTTTCCTTCACTATCAGACTTATTAAGGCATGTATTAACTATGGATTGTAAACCTTAAACATAACTAGACTGTGGTTGATGTCAGTTATTTACTTTTCTGTATTTAATTATGTGTGCACAAATTGTAACCCTATGGACGCAGGAGGCTAACTCTTGAAGCCGATCTTAACAGTGATTGTGTTTTCTAGAGTCCGCCTCACCCTTTCTAAAAACTCAATTTCATTAAAATAGCGGGGCTTTTTTAGAAATATCTGAGTGTTTTGGTTTTGAAATTAAATTTTGAAATGTTAACGGTTTAACCACCCTCTTAATCAGGTTTAATTTCTAAGCAAGCCTCCACGTTTCTAACCCCTATTTGGGGGTGTAACAAAGCTTGGTATTAGAGCCAATGGTTTTAAAAATTCTTCAGGATTTGTGCATACATTAATGACATCAGGAGACCACTAAACAATCTAGTTTCTTTTTAGTTAAGAGAATGCCGCCACGTCATAGAGCCGTTAATCCGCCGGCCGTACCAAACGAGGAAATCATGGAGGCAATGTATGTCACATTTCAGGGAATGGCTACTCGAGCAAATAATGACCGTCCAGCTGGGGACAGGAAGCAGGGGTATTTCCTCGAGTTCATATGTGGGTCAATCCCTACATTCAATAGTGAGGGTGGACCACAGGAAGCAGAGTATTTGTTTGAGTCCATCATCAAGTACTTGAACACAATGGGAGTACCCGAAGAGTACTGGGTAGAGTTTGCAGCCTACAAATTTGAAGGGCAAGCAAGTACTTGGTGGAAGCAGACTAGGAGACTGCATGATGTGAGCACCATGACGTGGGAATTGTTTGAAGAACTTTTCAATGAACGGTACTTTCCTCAAAGCTACGGCAATGAGAAAGCGATGGAATTTATGGGGTTAGAACAAGGAGATATGACCATGAGGGAGTACAAGGCTAAGTTCAATGACTTATCCCATTTTGCACCAACCTTGGTCGAATCCGAGCACATGAACTGTTTCAAATTTGAAAAGGGTCTAAAAAACAATGTCCAAAAATCATTGGCAGCCCTTAGAATTCACGTTTACCGAGACTTGGTGGCTTTAGCGATATCGGTTGAGCAAGATAACTTGGCCTATCTCTAAACTAGAGAAGCTATGAACAGAGCTTCAGAAGGACCTCAGCAGAATCAAAGAAGGAACCACAATCGAGGGCAAGCCAGTGGGGAAGCGACAAGTGGGAGTAGTGGTTCTTCAGGAAGCAGAGGAAGTGGACCCTACAAGTACACCTATCATAACTGTGGACAACTCAGGCACTTAAGGAGGAACTGCCCCAACAGGAATCAATTGCAGTCCCAACAGCCTCAAAGGGACAACACTTATGGGTAGCCCCAACCTCAGCAATTCGTGCCACCATTCCAACCATAGTTGCCAGCTTCACCACAAATGCAATTCCTTCCTGCACCAATTTACCGACCACCGAGATATTCTTAATTCTGACCTCAGACCTTGGGAACAGTGCAATCTCGTCAGATCCAACAGTATAGGCCAGGGAATCAGAGGCCTAATAACAATGACATAGGGAAAGGAAAGGTACATGGACAAGCTTACTCTATGGTAGGGGAAGTTCTGAAGCTCATGTTAAAAATCCAGTTGTTGAGGGTATGATACTCGTCTCACACTCAATTGCATGAGTCTTATTTGACACTGGTGCTACGCACTCGCTTATTGCTGCTTCTTTTGTGAAAATTTTGGGTTTGATACCCAAGGACTTAAAGACTCTAAGGAGTGTCGAGGTGACTAGCATATCTAGATCGTGTGTGATCATGATCGGAGGTGAGATATTGAAGGTGGACTTGATTATCCTTCCCATGAACTTGTTTGACGTAGTGCTTGGAATGGATTGGTTGTCAAGATACGGGGCGGTTGTTGATTACCACCGTATGAGGGTTACCTTGACTACCGGTTTCGGTATGGTAGTAACCTATCAGGGAGGTGTTAACCCGACTACATAAGAATGACTATTGAAACACAGCGTTGGGGGATGGTGCAACCTAGCCTGTGTCTCATTTCTTTTCACTTTAGAGGGTGAATCCGACGTTACCGGAGAAAATACTAAAATCCCAGTAGTGGATGAATTCCCGGACGTATTTCCTGACGAATTGCCTGGTTTACCACTAGACTGAGAAATAAAATTCTACATCGATTTACTTCCAGGAACGATACCTATCTCCATCGTTCCTTACTGAATAGCACTGGTCGAGATGAAAGAGTTGAGAAAGCAACTCGGTGAATTAGCAGAGAAAGGATACATCAGAAGCAGTACCTCCCCGTGGGGTGCACCCATGTTATTCACAAAGAAGCACGATGGATCTCTCCACTTGTGGATCGACTATCGGCAGTTGAACAAAGTCTCCGTAAAGAACAAATACCGATTGCCAAGGATTGAAGAGTTGTTGGATTAGTGGGTGGATCGCGGTATTACTCTAAGATCGATTTGAGATCTGGATACCATCAACTCAAGGTCAGGGAGGAGCACATTTTGAAAACTACTTTCAGAACCCGGTATGGGCATTTTGAGTTTCTGGTTATGCCTTTTGGGTTGACGAACACTCTAGCAGCCTTCATGGACCTGATGAACCGAGTCTTCCGGCCTTATCTGGATCAATTCGCAATAGTTTTCATCGATGACATCCTGATTTATTCAAAGACCCAGGAAGACCACGAGCAACGCTTAAGGATCGTTCTCCAGACTCTTCATGAACATCAGCTGTACACGAAGAAGGAGAAGTGTGATTTCTAGTTAACGAAAGTCAAGTTCCTTGGACATGTCATATCTGGACAAGGAATCTCAGTGGATCCTTCGAAGATTAAAACGGTGCTGCAATGGGAACGACCGAAGAACGTAGCTGAAATTCAAAGCTTCCTAGGACTTGCAGGATATTACTGACGATTTGCAAAGAACTTCTCAAGCATTGGTGTCCTAATGACTCAATTGGCAAAGAAGGAAGTCAGATTTGAATGGGATGTTGACTATGAGCATGCCTTCTAAGAACTAAAGACCAGATTGACGAGTGCACCAGTTCTAACCATACCAAATACCGAGGAATCGTATAAGGTGTATTCTGACGCATCAAGGCGAGGACTTGGGTGTGTTCTAATGTAAAGAGGACATGTTATAGCTTATGCATCTCACCAACTGAAGCCTCACGAGCAAAATTATCCAACTCACAATTTGGAGTTAGCTGTTGTGATTTTTACTCTCAAAATATAGAGATGTTATCTCTATGGAGTAAAATTCCATATCTTATCCAATCATAAGAGTCTGAAGTATATGTTCACTCAGAAAGACTTAAATTTGAGACAAAGAAGATGGATGGAGTATATGGTGGATTATGACTTCACCTTATAGTATCATCCTGGAAAAGCCAACGTGCTATCAGATGCTCTCAGCAGGTAACGAAGTGAAACTGTAGGTGATTATGATCTTTAGTATTTTGTGGATTTTAACTAAGCTATGGTGTACAACTTAGTTTTTACGCCAACTCTTATACAACAAGTCAAGCAGAACCATTGACAGGATCCGCATCTTCAAGGAGTTTGGACTCGAGTTCAGAATGGAGAAAAACTGGATGCTTGGAATATCCGAGAAGATGGAACGCTCTATTTCAAAGACCACCTTGTTGTTCCTCAGGTGGATGAGATAAAGAAGATAGTCCTTCACGAGGCTCACAAATCGAGGTTTGCTATTCATCCTGGGAGTACCAAGATGTATCAGGACCGCAAAAGGCAGTATTGGTGGAGGGGTATAAAGAATGATGTTCGCCAATACGTGTCAGAATGTGTGACTTGTCTTTGAGTCAAAGCTGAACATCAGAAACCTACTGGAGAACTGCAGCCTCTTCCTATTCCTGGATGGAAGTGGGAACACATTACAATGGATTTTATTGCCGAGGACTGAACAACGACATGATGCAATCTGGGTCATTGTGGATAGGTTGACGAAGTATGTGCACTTCATTCCTTTTTGTGCGACGTATTCTAGGAAAGTTCTAGCAGAGTTGTATCTAGAGCACATTGTTAGACTTCATGGAGTTCCATTGTCCATCACCTCAGACCGTGATACTCATTTTAATACGAAGTATTAGAGAAGTTTCCAAGAAGCCATGGGAACTGAATTGAATTTTAGCACCGCATTTCATCCTCAGATCGACGGACAGTCTGAAAGAGTTATTCAGATTCTGGAGGATATACTTCGTGCTTGCATTCTAGACTTCGGTGGAAACTGGAAGAAGTATCTCCATTTAGCTGAGTTCGCCTACAACAACAGTTATCAGACTAGCATTAGAATGGCACCATTCGAGGCATTGTATGGCAGACCTTGCAGATCACCAATTTGTTGGCTCGAGCTTGAGGATCGACTCACTCTTGCACCTGATGACATCTAGGAGAACAACGAGAAGATAGTTGTTATTCGGGAACGGTTGCTAACAGTTCAGAGTCGCCAGAAAAGTTATACTGACAGGAGGCGTAGACCTTTAGAGTTCCAAGAAGGCGACTTTGTCTTGCTAGGAGTCTCTCCGCGCAAAGGGGTCACTCGTTTTGGTGTGAAAGGGAAACTCGTACCAAGGTATATCGGACCGTTTTAGATCGTGTAACAAGTCGGTGTCGTTGCTTATCGTCTCGCTTTGCCTTTAGAGTTGTCTCATGTGCACGATGTGTTTCATGTTTATATGCTTCAGAAGTGTCAACCTAATCCAGAAGCCATTGTGTAATGGTACGACATACCGATTCAGTATGACACGACTTACGAGGAAGCACCCGTTCAGATTCTCGGTCAGAAAATGAAGAGTTTACGCCGTCACGAGATTCTGCTAGTGAAGGTGTTGTGGCAACACCATGGCATTGAGGAAGCAACTGGGACCTAGAGGTAACAATGCAGGAACGATATCCACATCTATTCATATCCTGAGGTAAGTTCCAATTTCGACGATGAAATTTCTCAAGGGAGGTAAAGTTGTAACGCTCTCCAGAATTAAACATGTTTAATTTTGCTAAATTATGAGTTATTAGTGTGCCTAATTTAATTTTCAAAATTAATCAAGGAACTTTAAATTAGTTTCAGTATTTATGATTTCACCCCAAAAGTTTTTGAAAATACACTTAAATTTTAATGCATTTTTTTCGCAGCCCAGCCCCCCCTCTCTCTCTTTCTATCTTTCTTTCTTTTTCTTTCCTCTCTCTCCTCTATGGTTCCCCGCCAGCCGCCCACCCCCCCCCCCCCTCCCCCCCCCCCCCCCCCCCCCCCCCCTCTCTCTCTCTCTCTCTTTCTCTCTCTTTCTCTTTTCTTCCACTGCTGGCCACTTCTCTGGGCTCTCTCTCTCTCTCTCCTACCAGCCTTTCTCTCTCCCTTGCTCTCTCTCTGGGTCTTTCTCTCTCTCTCTCTCTCTCTCTCTTTCTCTCTCTCTCTCTCTCTCTCTCCTGCCGGCCTTTCTCTCTCCCTTGCTCTCTCTCTCTGGGTCTTTCTCTCTCTCTCTCTCTCGACAGTTTGGCCGAGACACCCACAGAAAAAAACAAAAACGGGAGAAATTTAATTTCAAGAAGGGTGGTGGAATTTCCAACCAAACAAGTTTAAAACCACGTCCTTAGTATCAAGTCAGGAATTCCCACAGGTGTTTAGCATACATGAATATAAACAAAAGTAAATGTGACATCAACCGCAGTCTAGCAATATTTAAGTTTACAATCCATAATCTTTTATGCATGCCTTGAGATAAAAGATAAGAGGAAATACAACTCTTCACTTCCCGAGGTCAAGTCCACGTCACCGGTAGTAGCTACCTACTCCACACTACTTCTCGCGTCGGCTAGAGGGGTTTAATATATTTGAAAATAAGAAAAGTGAGTGAAAGGCCCAATAGGATATAATTTTATAAAGCATTTAAAATAAAGGTACTCACGGTCTGAAGACATACACCCGGAACCGGTCATCCCTTTTTAGAAAAGGAAATACTCACATAGTAGAAAATGTCTGTATAATGAAAGTGTGTAGCTCATCATATCACTAAACAAGAAGTGGTAAAATGTCTGTCTAGTGAAAAGTACAGAGCCATAGTTTCACTAAACAAGAAGTGGATCCGTACGGG